GGGGTGGTCGGGATAGCGGAAAGTGGACGGGTCGGGTAGGCAAAAGGGGCCGCTACCCTTTTCCTCGGGATGTTTCATTTTAGCGGCCACAAGACCGCCAGGGGGCTGGACGACCCTTTCGCTCCCCCCAACAACATCCTCCACCCCTCCATCCCTCAACCCCCACATACCCCACTACAGACGACCCCCAAACATAAGCTTGAGATGGCCACCCCCGGCCCCCCTTCGGGTTTAAGCCCAGCTCCCCCCTTTGGGGGGCCATTTTTCCAGCATATTTTTAACTCCTTTCCCGGAGGTTTTTCTTACGAGGTGCACAACAGCGCCCCTTTGGGGTCCCCTCCCTGTGACCTTTGCAAACCCTTTTTTAAACCCTTTTAAACGAAACTCCCCTTCTTTAAACAATAAACGTTTTCTCGACCTTGCGTATGAAATTTGGTAAACAAAAGGAAAGAGTCCGTTTGTGCCCTAGTCTGTTTGTGACCTAAAAAGCCCAACACAGTGGACTTTTTTAGGTCAAAAACCCGACAAAACCCCCCACCCTAAAGATATTAATTTATGATGCAATAAAGTCCTTTGGGGTGAGCGAAACGTCGTCAGAAAAAATTTTCCCCATTTTAACTGCTTTTGCGTTTTTAAACCTTTTTCGCAGCCCTCGCTGTTTTTTCCAGAAAACCTGGGGCCGACTAATACCTTTTCTTCATTGTTTTCTTCAAGATATCCCAGGACGGATTTTTGTTCCAACAATATCTCAATGCCTGGTCCCAAAAACTCAATATTACTCGGTTTTAAAGAATTTTCTAAAAATCCCCTTTCTTTCTAGAAAATGTTTTTTTAGAAAATTTAATTTTACTAGTACCTGCTTTTTAAAAGATTGGAAAAGAGGAAAGGGAAAAAGAATTAAAAAAAAAGGAAGAAGGAGGGGGAGGAGGGGGAAAGGGGAGAAGAAAAGAAGGGGAAGAAGAAAAAGAAAAAGAAAAAAGAAGAAAAGAAGAAAAAGAAGAAAAAAGAAGAAGAAGAAAAAGAAGAAGGGGGGAAATCAGATTAAGAAGATTTTTTAGAAGCCGGGAAGAATGGGAAGGAATGTGGGGGGTGATGGTTAGTGTTGGGCCGAGTGATTTGGGAAAAACCCTTTGGGAAAAGTGTTAACCAATCCCCCTTTTGTTCACCTCTCTCTTTTCTCTCTCCCCCCCCCCCCCTCCCTCCCCCCCCCCCCCCCCTTCCCCCATCCCCCCTCCCCCCCCCCCACCCCCCCCTCTCCTCTCTCCCCCCCCCCCCCTCCCCCCCCTCCCCCAAATCCCCTGTAAATTTCCCCCCCCCCCTTTTTAACCCCCCCCCCCCCCGTTTTTTTTTTTCCCCCCCCCAAATTTTTTAAAAAAAGAAAAAGCGTTAAATAAACCTCGGCTCCCTCTCCCAAAATTGGTCCCTGTAATCTATTGAAGGATAATGTGTACCTGCTTAATAAAAATTAATGTTTTACCCCGCTTAATAAACATTTAAAAAACCTGCTTAATAAACATTAATGTGTAAACCCGCTTAATAAAAATTAAAGTGTACCTGCTTAATAAAAATTAAAGTGGGACCTGCTTAAAAAACATTAATGTGAAAAATGCTTAATTAAAAAAAATTTTAAAGTGTACCTGCTTAAAAAACATTAATAAACCCGCTTAATAAACAATTTAAAGGTACCGCTTAATAAACAATTTAAATTTTACCTGCTTAATAAAAAATTAATGTGTTTCCTGCTTAATAAACATTAATGTTGTACCTGCTTAAAAAAACAAAAAATGTGTACCTCTTTAATAAACATTAAGACCGCTTAATAAAAATTAATGTTTACCTCTTAATAAACATTAAAAGTACCTGCTTTAAAAAAAAAATGTGAAACCCGCTTAATAAAAAATTAATGTACCGCTTTAAAAAACAAAAATTGTACCTGCTTAAAAAACATTAATGTACCGCTTTTAAAAAACTTAAAGTGTTTCCTGCCCTTTAAAAAACATTAATGACCTGCTTAATAAACATTAATGTGTACCTGCTTTAAAAAACAAAATTACCTGCTTAATAAACATTTTAAAGTACCTGCTTAATTTAAAAAATTTAAAGTGTACCTGCTTAATAAACAATTTAAAGTTTCCTGCTTTAAACATTAATGTACCTTCTTAATAAACATTAATGTGTTTCCTGCTTAATAAACATTAATTTACCTGCTTAAAAAAACATTAAAGTGTACCTGCTTAAAAAACATTAATGTACCGCCAATAAAAATTAATTTTTTACCTGCTTAATAAAAAATTAAGTACCTGCTTAAAAAACATTAATGGGACCTGCAAAAAAACATTAAGTGTACCTGCTTAATAAACATTAATGTTTCCCCGCTTAATAAAAAATTAATGGGGACCTGCTTTAAAAAACATTAATGTACCCTGCTTAATAAACATTAAAAGTACCTGCTTAAAAACATTTTAAAGTACCCTTTCTTAATAAACATTAAAAGAAACCCGCTTAATAAAAAATTAATTTTTACCCGCTTAATAAACATTAATGTAAACCTTCCTAATAAACATTAATGTACCTGCTTAATAAACAATTTAATTAAACCCGCTTAAATTAAACATTAATGTACCTCCCTTTAAAAAACATTAAAAGTACCTGCTTTAAAAAAAATTAATGTACCTGCTTAATAAACAAAAATGTACCTGCAAATAAAAAATTAATGAAACCTTTCTTAAAAACATTAATGTAAACCCGCTTAAAAAAACATTAATTAAACCCGCTTAATAAAAAATTAATTTTACCCGCTTAAAAACATTTAAAGTGTACCGCTTAATAAAAATTAATGTACCTGCTTAATAAACATTAATGACCCGCTTAATTAAAAATTAATTAACCCGCTTTAAAAACATTTAAAGTACCTGCTTAATAAACATTAATGTACCTGCTTAAAAAAACAAAAAATGTGTAAACCGCTTAATAAACATTAATGTACCTGCTTTTAAAAAACATTAATGTACCTGCTTAAAAAAAACATTAATGTACCTGCTTTTAAAAAACATTAATGTACCTGGGTTAAAAACTTAAAATTTCCGCTTTTAATAAACATTAATGTGTACCTGCTTAATAAACATTAATGTACCTGCTTAATAAACATTAATGTACCTGCTTAATAAACATTAATGTACCTGCTTAATAAACATTAATGTACCTGCTTAATAAACATTAATTTACCCTGCTTAATAAAAAATTAATTAACCCCGCTTTTAAAAAACATTAATGTACCTGCTTAAAAAACATTAATGTACCCGGGGTTTTTAAAAAAATTAATGTACCTGCTTAATAAACATTAATTACCTGCTTTAAAAAACAATTTAAAGTACCGCTTAATAAAAAATTTAAAGTACCGCTTTAAAAAAAATTAATGTAAACCCGCTTAATAAAAACCTTAATGTACCGCTTAATAAACATTAATGTACCTGTTAATAAACATTAATGTACCTGCTTAATAAACATTAATGTACCTGCTTAATAAACATTAATGTACCTGCTTAATAAACATTAATGTACCTGCTTAATAAACATTAATGTACCTGCTTAATAAACATTAATGTACCTGCTTAAAAACATTAAGACCTGCTTAATAAAAATTAATGTACCTGCTTAATAAACATTTTAAAAGTAAACCCGCCCTTTAAAAAACAATTTAATTTTACCGGGTTAATAAACCCTTAAATTTCCTGCTTAATAAACATTTAAAGTCCCCGCTTTAAATAAACATTAAAAGTACCTGCTTAATAAACAATTTAAAGTACCTGCTTTAAAAAAAAAATTAATGTACCTGCTTAATAAACATTTAAAAAACCTGCCTTTAAAAAACATTAATGTACCTCTTTAAAAAAACAAAGGAAAGTTAGAAATATTTTATTTAAATTAGATTTTCCCTCCCAAATTTAAAAAAACATGAATAAAAAAATTAAAACACAATTAAAAATTAAAAATAAAAAAGGGAGTGAATATAAGCAAAGAATTTTATGCAGCTGCGACACACGTAGTGTATATTGCTAAGCTTTCGTGCTTACTGTGAAAGACATCAGCTTAAAGCTTTCAAGGATTATGTGTAGCTCGCTTAATGGGGTAATACTTCCACGGGTTCGTATTGAATACAAACGATATATTAATTCCACGTAGGTAAAAAGCTTGTTTAAGTGGATTAACTTGAACAACAAGTGACAGAATCATTGTGTGTGTTTTTAGGATTTATTAAAACGTGTGTATGAGTGAGCCGGGTCAGTAATGTATGATCCACTCGTTGGTATTACTTCCTGAGATATTACCTGTAACTTTTACTCCAGCTTGGCAGGCGAAAACAGCCAGTGTGGTGTATCAAATTTTGGTAATAGTAAAAAAGTTAAATCGTGATGTTATTGAGGTTTGAGAAGACGCTGGTGGCGCCTGGCGAGGCTTGGAGAAGCTCCTTGAAGAAGAGAGAGGTCACCCCTCCCTCCCTCCCTCATATAAAACCCTTCTTTATATGACTTGAGGATCTTTCATAGCGTTGGAACACGTCCTTGGGATCAGGTCGTGTCCGTGGGTGTAATCCGGGGCATGTAGGGAGAAATATGCGAGAGCAAAGGCGGCTGTGGCACACTTAAGTGTAGTGTTGTAGCATAAGCCGAGTGCGGCACTAGTCGTAATGGACGCATCCAGGCGACACCCTCCCAGACTATACATGTTAATAACCTCTGATTTCTTGTTACGTGAGTTCAACTGACCGGGAGGAGAATTAATGTCCTGCTTGAAGGTTGACGCGGCGTCTTGTCGGTTGTATAAGTCTGCTGAATGAGACTTTGGACTCAAGGAAAGAGTCATTGAGACGCCGTTCAGTAAATCACCTCACACACAGCGCCGCTTGCTACAGCCAGTCAAAAAATGTGCTTCCACGGTAATTTTTTTTTTTTACCTCTCTCGTTATCCATTTTGCATGGCGTTCCTGCTCATGAGTTGCCATGGCAGCAAATATGAAGTTAGTGTTTAGGAAGGTGTATGTATGTGTGTGTGTGTGTGTGTGTGTGTGTGTGTGTGTGTGGTAATAATGGTTGAGGACGCAGGAAGAAGGTCTGCAGGAAGGGATCTGGCGCACTACCCTTCAGGAAGGTCGTCTTGGTGCTAGTGAAGAACTGGTGTTCCAAGGACCGTGACCTACCCTTCCCTTCTCCAAATAAACTGTCACAATTCCCACCAGGCTCTATATGATTCTTACAGGTTTAGCGCTTCCCGATAATAATTCTGACTTAACACGAGGCTGTTATCCTGAGATTATTGGGGTAATCTTAGGATTCCCCCGAGTATACTAAAGGTATCCTAAGGACCTCTGCGGTACACTAGAGGTATCCTAAGCACCTCTAGAGTGCACTAGATGTATCCTAAGCACCTCTGGAGTACACTAGAGGTATCCTAAGCACCTCTGGAGTACACTAGAGGTATTCTAAGCACCTCTGGAGTACACTAGAGGTTCCTAAGCACCTCTGGAGTGCACTAGAGGTATCCTAAGCACCTCTGGAGTACAGTAGAGGTATTCTAAGCACCTCTGGAGTACACTAGAGGTATCCTAAGCACCTCTGGAGTACAGTAGAGGTATTCTAAGCACCTCTAGAGTGCACTAGAGGTATCCTAAGCACCTCTGGAGTACACTAGAGGTATCCTAAGCACCTCTGGAGTACACTAGAGGTATCCTAAGCACCTCTGGAGTACAGTAGAGGTATTCTAAGCACCTCTGGAGTACACTAGAGGTATTCTAAGCACCTCTGGAGTACACTAGAGGTATTCTAAGCACCTCTAGAGTGCTCTGAGGAGGTTGATCGTGCCTCTGGCTTCCTCCCGAGGATTACACTTTCTCCACCCATCACCTCACAGGCTTGTGTGTGTACTCACCTATTTGTACTCACCTATTTGTGGTTGCAGGGGTCGAGTCACAGCTCCTGGCCCCGCCTCTTCGCTGATTGCTACTAGGTCCTCTCTCTCCCTGCCCCATGAGCTCTATCATACCTCACCTTAAAACTATGTATGGTTCCCGCCTCCACTACGTCACTTTCTAGGCTATTCCACGGCCTGACTACTAGAAGAGAGAGATAAGATTTCGTTCGGATTTTTAACCCCGGAGGGTTAGCCACCCAGGATAACCCAAGAAAGTCAGTGCGTCATCGAGGACTGTCTAACTTGTTTCCACTGGGGTCCTTAATCTTGTCCTCCAGGATGCGACCCACACCAGTCGACTAACACCCAGGTACCTATTTGCTGCTAGGTGAACAGGACAACAGGTGTAAGGAAACGTGTCGAAATGTTTCCACCCGCCGGGAATCGAACCCGGGCCATCCGTGTGTGAAGCGGAAGCTTTAGCCACCAGGTCAACGGGCCACCGGGCACCTACTCTATGACTGTGTGTGTGTGTGTGTGTGTGTGTGTGTACTCACCTATTTGTGGTTGCAGGGGTCGAGTCACAGCTCCTGGCCCCGCCTCTTCGCTGATTGCTACTAGGTCCTCTCTCTCCCTGCCCCATGAGCTCTATCATACCTCGCCTTAAAACTATGTATGGTTCCCGCCTCCACTACGTCACTTTCTAGGCTATTCCACGGCCTGACTACTCTATGACTGAAGAAATACTTCCTAACATCCCTTTGATTCATCTGAGTCTTCAACTTCCAATTGTGACCTCTTGTGTCTGTGTCCCATCTCTGGAACATCCCGTCTTTGTCCACCTTGTCTATTCCGCGCAGTATTTTATATGTCGTTATCATGTCTCCCCCGACCCTCCTGTCCTCCAGTGTCGTCAGGCCGATTTCCCTCAACCTTTCTTTCGTAGGACAATCCCCGTAGCTCTGGGACTAGTCTTGTTGCAAACCTTTGCACTTTCTCTAATTTCTTGACGTGCTTGACTAGGTGTGGATTCCAAACTGGTGCTGCATACTCCAGTATGGGGCTGACGTAAATGGTATACAGAGTCTTGAACGACTCCTTACTGAGGTATCGGAACGCTATCCGTAGGTTTCCCGGGCGCCCGTATCTGCGAGTTATCGATTGAGTCGCCTCAGGAGATATGCTGGGTGTTAACTCACCCCCGGGGTTTTTTTCCCCTTAGTATTTGCAGTCTTTGGCCATCTAAATAATTTTCTGCGGTCTTCTTTGCCCTTCCCCAATTTTCATGATTTGCTTTTGGGCGGGGTTAACTCAAGGACCCTTTTCTGGCCCAGGCTTGTGCCTGTCCAGGTGTTCCTTTTTCTTATTAATGTTAAGTTAAAAAACATCAAAGTGGACCCCCTTCCTGGTCACTGGATCACCATTTCCGGGTCACTGGTCACCACCTTCCGGGTACGGGGATCACCCCCCCTGGATCACGGATCTCCACCCTCCTGGATACTGGTCCCCACCTTCCGGGATACTGGATCACCCCCTTCCGAACCCGGGATCACCACCCTCTGGATCAGGTCACCCCCTTTCCTGTCACTGGTCACACCTTCCTGGATCATTGGATCACCCCCTTTCCTGGCACGGGATCACCCCCTCCTAGATCATGGATCACCCCCCTTCCTGGATCACTGGATCACCACCCTCCGGAAACCCCTGGACACCCCCCTCCGGGATCACTGATCACCACCCCCTGGATCACTGGTCACCCCCTTTCCTGGATCACGGGATCCCCACCCCCCTGGATCACGGGATCACCACCTTTTGGATCACTGACCCCCACCCTCCTGGATCACCACCCCCCGGGGTCACCCCCTTTCCGGGGATACAAATCACCCCCCTCCTGGATCACTGCATCACCCCCTTCCTGACACTGAATCACCACCTTTGAATCACTGGATCACCCCCCTCCGGGATCACGGATCACCCCCTTTTCCTGGATCCTGGATCACCCCCTTTTCCTGGTTCACTGGATCATCACCTTCCTGGACCTGGATCACCCCTTCCCGGATCACTGGATCACCACCCTCCTGATCACTGGACACCACCCTCCTGGATCCTGGACACCCTTTGGGATCACTGGATCCCCACCTTCCTGAATCACTGGATCCTGGATCATCCCCTTCCTGGATCACTGGATCACTCCTTCCTAAATCACGGGATCACCCCCTTTCCTGGACACTGGATCATCCCTTCCGGATCACTGGATCACCACCCCCCTGGATCACGGGGACCCCCACCTTCCGGGATCACGGGGACCCCCACCTCCGGTCACTGGATCCCCCCCCTCCGGATCACTGGATCCCCACCTTCCGGGATCAGGGCACCACTTCCGGTCACTGGTCACCCCCTTTCCGGGATCACTGGATCCCCACCTTTCCTGGTCACGGGTCACCACCTTCCTGGATCACTGGATCCCCATTTCCGGGATCACTGGATCACCCCCTTTCCTGATCACGGGATAAACCCCCTTTCCGGATCACTGATCACCACCTTCCTGATCATGGATCCCACCTTCCTGGATCCGGGATCACCACCTTCCGGGATCACGGGATCACCCCCTTCCTGGATCACTGGTCACCACCTTCCGGGATAAAGGGACCCCCTTCCTGGATCACTGGATCACCACCTTCCTGGATCACTGGATCACCACCTTCCTGGATCACTGGATCACCACCTTCCTGGATCACTGGATCACCACCTTCCTGGATCACTGGATCACCACCTTCCTGGATCACTGGATCACTCCCTTCCTGGATCACTGGATCACTACCTTCCTGAATCACTGGATCACCACCTTCCTGGATCACTGGATCACTCCCTTCCTGGATCACTGGATCACCACCCTCCTGGATCACTGGACCACCACCTTCCGGGATCATGGATAACCACCTTTCCTGGATCACTGATCACCACCCTCCTGGATCACTGGATCACCACCTTCCTGGATCACTGGATCACCACCCTCCTGGATCACTGGATCACCACCTTCCTGGATCACTGGATCACCACCTTCCTGGATCACTGGATCACCACCTTCCTGGATCACTGGATCACCACCTTCCGGGACACGGGGACACCACCCTCCTGGATCACGGGATCCCCATTTTCCTGGATCACTGGATCCCCACCCCCGGATACTGATCCCCACCCTCCTGGACATGGATCACCACCCCGGATCACTGGATCACCCCCTTTCCTGGTCCTGAATCACCACCCTCCGGGATCACTGAACACCACCTTCCTGGATCACTGGATCACGTATCACCACCTTCCGGGACACTGGTCACCACCTTCCTGATCACGGGATCACCACCTTCCTAGATCACTGGACCCCTTCCGGGATCACGGATCCCCACCCCCCTGGTCCGGGATCACCCCCTTCCTGTCACGGATCACCCCCTTCCTGGATCACTGGATCACCACCTTCCTGGATCACTGGATCACCCCCTTTCCGGACACTGGATCCTGGAAACCCTTCACTGATGGTTTCCATTTATTGAACCCCCAAAATTCCATTCCCACTTATTTTGACGTAGTCAACTGTCTTGTGAGTCCCTTTAAAAAAGTGTGAGATAAAATCGTCAGAAAATATTTTAAAATGTTTTTGATTTGTAATCACAGTGCCAGCAGCATTTATCAGACTGCGTCTTAAAATATTTATATAGGTCTTAGCCTAGGGGGGGCGGGTGTGGTCCACGGGCGGGTGGGGGCCCTGGGGGCGGGTGTGGCCACGGGGCGGGTGGGTCCTGGGGGTGTGGTCCACGGGGCGGGTGGCCCACGGGGGGGGTGTGGTCCACGGGGGGGTGTGTCCACGGGGGGGGGTGAGTCCAGGGGGAGGTGTGGTCCCGCGGGGTGAGCCACGGGGGGGGTTGGTCCACGGGGGGTGTATCCACGGGGGGGTGTGGTCCCGGGGGGGTGTGTCCACGGGGGGGGTGTGGTCCAGGGGGCGGGTGTGGTCCACGGGGCGGTGTGGTCCACGGGGCGGGTGTAGTCCACGGGGCGGGTGTGGTCCACGGGGCGGGTGTAGTCCACGGGGCGGGTGTGGTCCACGGGGGGGTG